GTTTCTGGGAGCTGTGGGCACCCCGAGCATCACCCTGGCTGGCTCAGGCTGCATGTTCTTTGAGAGGCAGAGTCCCTGCCCCTGCACCACGAGTCGTACCCCGCAATCCCAGCACACCATCAACTGGAAAGACCCAAAGTTTCAGAGGGGAATTTATTGTACGGGAGCATATCCAGGATCTTTTGTCAACCGTTCATGAGAATAATAAAAAATAGAAGCTTTTTAAATGACAAAAAAATATAATTACATATAATACAGATTTTCATCTTGCATTGAAGCAGAGCAGTAATAATACGCTCACTCGTGTTTTCACAGTTAGTTTGTGTGGCTTCTCTACGTTAAAGCATCTGCAACTCCAATCTTCCAGTCTGAACCCCTAGTTAGTAGTTTCACGGGGTGATCATGAGCGTGAACGTTCTTAATTTTGACACCCTTTACAAAGAGACCATGCACACTTGATCCACCTTAGAACTACTCACAGTTTTAGAGGTACCAGCTACGCTTGAAACAAGGCACCCTTGCTCCAACTGAAAGATTTTTGTACCAGCACATGCCTTTAGGACCAACTCAGAAATACATCTATGGAGTACTCAAGGATGTGCTTAAATCCTGTTTGGTTCAAGGGGCCCAGAGCTGACCCTTTGTGACCACCTCTGCTTGCCCTGCCCCTCACCAGCACTGCACACTGGCACAGGGCACGGACCAGAGTGCAATCACGTGTGTAAGCTCCTTCCAAGGCCAGAAAGGACTCAAACATTCTTCAGCACTCCATTTACTCGAGACCTAAAGGCATTTATAGAGTCTCCTGCATGCATATACATTTCTCTATATACTACACGCACCCCCAGCCCTTCCCCACAATATTATTGCAGTAACTCTTGGCTGGTATAACAGTTTATATATACCAAGTCTCACTCGTGTAGTTATAAACGTATTAAAAAAAAACCTGAAGAGAGCTGGAACAGCTTTCAATCAGTCACTATATTGGCATTGAAAGCTTTATTTTGAAAACTTTAAGCAGCAATACTGAATAAATAGACAGAATGATTGTTTTGTCATCTCCATACAACCGATGGCCTTCATCCAAAACATTAAAATACTGTAGCAAATAGAATAAACATGCACGTTTCAATGTTCTTAAAAAAAAAAAAAAGTGTAATATAAAAGACTTTGACACTTATTTTAATACAGTACAGACCATTAGAGACTATTTTCTGGAAAAAAATATCTGAATACATTTTTGTTATTTACATCGATCATTAAGGCCAAATTCGCTCAAGTTAATGCACATCAGGAATTTATATGCTTCAAGGTAACTCACTAAAAATCACAAGATCGGTTTTTTTTGTTCATACTCAGGATCTCAGCTCACTAAAATAATGCAATACTCTTTTCATGCTAAAAACAAGGCAATTATTGCCCCAAGAGGGGATTTTTATGTCACGGAAGCATCTCTTCCCTCTTCGCTCATAATGAAAGCATGTTTGCATATTGCTAATGCTAGGGGTAGTTTTCTTCGAGAGCTTCCTTCCAGCTTGCTAGGGTTTAGACAAGCAAGACATCTCAAAGCTGACATACCGTTTCCAGAAGCAATTCAGGCACTTGGGAACCTAAGTCCCACTGCAAGATACTGGAGGGAGGTTCCTAGCTGACTTCTCAGAGTGGGACTTGGGTTTCTCCCTTGCTTGGGCATTCAGAATGTTAACCTCAGCCTTAACCGACTGGCTTCTACACTGGCCAACCCCTGCCCTTCTCCCCTAACAACATAGCATCACCAGCCAAAATAAACTGCACCCTCATGGATGAGAGAGGTAACACAGTTAACTTCCAGTAGTAATAAATTACAGGAGTTCTCCATATAAATTCCCCGTGCACTGGAAAATAGTGCTTGTGTATTCAGCTATATTAATGCAAGCAAAAAACCCCATTTTTTTAACATGCTGCCCAGTAAATAATATGGCACTTGTCAAAATTGGTATGTGTAGCTTCCTTTCCACTAATGCCCCATAAGGAGGTTCCAAACACTTCTGGAAATGAGTTTTTCTACGTTTGTAAAGGAAGAGTGAGGTCCTGCAGCTGGTCAGAAGCCAAGCTCCTAACGCCGTGACGCGAGGGGTCTGTGTAAGTGCCACACACTGCCCAGCTCACACCAAGGCCAGGGCACGCCGGCCCCTGGGGCTTATTTACAGAGGGGGAGGATGCCACAGAGCTCCAGCCTGGTGAGGTTCAGCTAGGCAGGAGGATGGTGGGGGCAGAGGAATTTGTCAGTGTCTCACTAGCGACAGGTTTGGCTACCAAAGGCTCTCCTTCGCCAGCACAGCGGCTGAAGCTGTGAAGGTTTTTCATTTCACCTGGACATATGCTAAAGCCCTGACAAGGAGGGTCCACTCCATGATGACGAGATGGCTCCTCCTGAGCCAGCTCCAGGCTGGCATCTCTGTCAAGCAGCTGCTGCATTCAGCAGCTGCTATTTTTTAACTGAAATGGCAAATTCCTTCTATGATTCCATTACAAAGCCATAACTCAAGCCCTCCAAAGCTGCTCTTACTCTTCCTTTTAATCCTTTTCCTCCCCCCTTCATCTTAAATAACCTGGCAGAGAAAGAGCTGTTTTTATGGTGTGAGAGCCCAATTGGGCTCCAGTTGACATCTGTGGGAGATGGACCAGTCACAAAGCATGACAAAAACGTTAGCTGGGTAAGTATGTTGATCTGCCTTAAAACTACTTCATCTCAGTACAGGACTGAAATTGCAACAGGCTTTTCCTTGTGTCCCCCCACCCCCATGCAGCATAATTTGGGCCAGACTTTGCAAGGTGCTGAGTGCCTTGGTTCTCTAACGTCAAGAGGTGCTGAAGATGCTAGATATCCACTGGAAAGGGCCATTTCATTTCTGTAAATTGAACCCAGAATGTAAGGCATAGATGCTCAAGTACCTTGGACAGATATTGTCCCCAAACTATGTATATTTTACACTCTTTTTAATAGGTATGTACACACATTCGCTTTTTTTCTTTTCAATACAAAGTTATGGGCACAGTAAACATGAGCACATTAATTGTGATAAACTGAAAGTAAAATCTGTGAGCACTGCAAAGATTCCTCAGGTAGGAACTTCTTGTTTTCTGGTTTGCTCACAAGGGTGGGGGGAAGAGAAAAGAAAAAAAAAAAAAAAAAAAAGAGTCCTGATAAGTTAACCAGTAAAAATTCAGAGTCTGTTTGGAAAGGTCTTTTATATATTCACAGCCTTATCTGTTGCTGTTAGTCTAAATACAGCAGCATTTCTAGAATATATGATGCCATTAATAAGTGGAAAGGGAAAAAAAAAAGCATTAAACACTCAAGAGTCCTTCATCTTCCACTATATCTTATAAAACTTCCATTTATCAGGAAGCTCCTCTTTTAAAAAAAATGAAACTTAAATAACATTTATCTGCACATCAGTAAATCAACACAAGGAGGATGCTAGGAGTTAGGAATTCTGAAGTATTTCTATGGCAGAAAGCTTGGAGTTTCCTACCAGTGGTAAAGTCCTGACCTACCAAAGACATCTGGAGTTCTGTCACTTTGCCACTGACTGAAGTCCAGGTAGTCAACACTGCAGTGAAAGGATGGCGAGCCCCTCATGGCCAGGGGCTCTCAGGTGTGGGGGTGATGGCAGGAGCTGCTGTCAGAACAGGAACCCAAATGCAGCTAGGTAAGGCCCAGCCCTTCTCTAACTCACCCGTGAAGCCACTCACTTTCTCTACAAACTTGGTGTCCACTTGGTGTCCAGCAACTGAATTTCAAGGCCTGTAAGCAACATTGATGCTTCCTTGGTAGTGTCTTACTTCCTGCACGGAGCCATTCTGCCTAATCCTTGCTTGGCTTTCATTGCTTTAGAGTGACACCAGGATGTGACACTGTTCTCTTCACGTTTTGTAGAAAATAACTATGACTGTATGAATTTCCTGTTTGTAAGTTTTATATTCTGTAAGTGACTGAGCAACAGTGCTTCTTTCCAAGAGGCCACATGTCTCCCCTTTAGCACTGGGGGCCTGGACTGAAATCCTGGCCCCACTCAAGTCAGTGCAAGCTCTGCTATTGACTTCATGGGACTCTCTGCCAGGTTTCTTCCCTCCAAAAAACTTGAGTGAATTCTGGAAGGCTGGAAGAGGATGCTCATTTGTCTTGTGGTTTTCTCCTCCTTCAACAGCAAGATTTACTGCAAAGGAATACTGTAATGGCTACTGAAAAAAAATAAAGTATAAAATGACACACAATGAAAGCCTCCTGCTCTCTTTTGGTAAGATATATGAAGACGACTTCTTACATTGTTCTTTTCTCAAAAGGCATATACAACATGGCAAAATATTTCAAATATACATTCTATATAATAAAATATCATCTAACTAGTGCATCCTCAATCATATGCTGGAAATATTTTTACCAAGCCAAGGTTTAAATTCCATAAATCTTTTGAACACTAGGTGCTTCATTCAAGGCAGATTCAACAGCAAGTAAATCCCATAAACTCATTTTTCAAGCCTTAAAAGGTAGCAATGGATGGAACATGACATATTGTGACCCACAACAGGAACAGTGGTGAGAAACCATTTTAATGGTTCAGCACTCCACAGAACTCTGCATTGCAAGTTGTGGTACTTGATCAAATGGTGGATGTGTGTACATGGAAACTAAAGTCACCTTGTCAGACTGACATACAGCCGTGTGTGATTATTCACAAGTTAAAAATAAAAATATAAAAGGTCAACATTCACACGTCCATTGATTAAAGGGAATAAATTAAACCTCAGATGAGCTGCATACACGGTTCCCTTCGCCCTCAGTCATTTAAGCCTATACAAGGAACAATACTTTCCCAAACACTCGTGAAGTGGCAAAACCAAACGAAGGGTTTTGCACTCTGGCTGCGTTGACAGCAGGTTCATCCTTGCCAACTATGAATCGAGACAGTTCCTCTGTCTCTTCAGCATCAGTGCACAGGGTATGGCTCCAAGTGGTGTGTTGGAGGAATAAGAAAAAGATTGGTGGCTTAACAAAAAAATAATTAAAAAAAAATAATCTTCTTCCATTCATCATTGGCAGAATAAAACGGAAGTGTGTCTTGTCCAGGGTACCTTGGCAGGCCCTCTGCAGAAGAGGTATGTGCTGTCATACGTAAATGCCCTCGGGGTTGAAGCCGGCCGACAGGGGGTTCTGCAGGATGCGCAGGTTGCTGGGCAGCTGCCGCGAGGAGCCCGGGCGCTTCAGGGACCCGCACTGGAACGTGGGCTCTGCAGGGGGAAAGGGCAGAAAAGGCATCATCCAGGGGGATGTCTGTAGAACACCTCTCTTCTTCCTGCTTAGTGCAGTACGAAAAAAACAACCTAATACCACATACAGCAAAAAATTCAGATGCCTGACTAGGCATCGAGCAGATCCAAGGAGCACACTTCCCACTCATTTCAAAAGAGAAAGATCCCACACAGCACAGCTACCCTCCCACAAGGAACACGTGTGTGGGTACATGCAATACATTCACACAGCAATGTGCAGAGAAAGTCAGTACCTGTACGTTACTCAAAGCTTCAGCTTCCTGCTCACTTAAAAGACAAATTTCATACAAGTGCTGACATTTAAGGCCTGTGTCTTTGCTTCTCTCCCCACCTCTCTAACGTCCCAAAGTCTTTTGGTTAGAATGTCTTCTGAGAGGAGGGACAGAACCAGCTAAGGGGAATGCTGAGAGAAACAGGCCCCTGGCACATGGGGTGCTTGGCTGGAGCACAGCACAGCAGAGGCTGAGCCACAGCAAAGGAGCTCCTGCTTGTGCCATAGTCCTGACATGCACCTGGAGTGTGCCCATGTTTCTGTCTAGCAAGTTCTGAATGCAGATGTGGGCACGTGCAGAACGCTCACCAGGGGTAGAGTCAGTCTGCACATGCCCCAGCAGCCACCTGCGCAAGACCTCAGGATGGCTGCAGCCCAGCTGGATTAGCTCCTATCTCTGTGTGCCTGCTGCCTGGGGTTTCTTGAGATCTAGGCACATTCCTTGCCCTACTTTGAGAACAATTCCTCCCAGAAGAGGAGGAACCCAGATGAAGAGCCATGTCAGATGTTGTGTGCCAGCTTACATGCCTGCAGCCACGGTGACCACACTGGAAAGCTGCCAGCCTGATGGGACTGATGGGACAAGCCCATGCCCAGGCACAGTGGGACAGAAGATAACATGCTGTGCTTTATTCATAGCTTGCTAAACCCTTGGAATGAGAAGAAATCTTTGACCCTGTGCTTGCTCCCTTCCCCGCTAGCGGAGTGCCGCTTCAGGGACCAGCACTAACGCAGCAGGGGAACGCTTCCACAGCCCCTTCTGCTGCCCCCCAAACCCCATCAAGCCCCCCAGCACCAAACCTCTCTCGAGCTCCACATGCGGGGCCTCCACCTCCACGGGGTCTGCCGGCAGCACCGTCACCTTCGTCCCCGTCTGCTGGATGAACTGCTGCAGGTTGACCTGCCGCAGCTCCTTCGTCAGCTGCTCCAGCTCTTGCTCCCTGTCCTGCCAGGGAAGAGGAAATATCTGCTGAGCAGCACTGAGCACAGAGCAGCATTTCAAGATTCTGTTTGCACGGGGGCAACTAACACTCCTCCTTTTGATGAGAAAGGCTCTGACTTTCAAATTCAACTAAAAATGGAAGAGCTGAAAAGTATTTTCCTCTTGTAATTTAGAAAGCAAATCAACACTTGCTATTACTTATTAGAGGTTACTACTGGTCTGCTTATGTTGCCTCTTGGATGACTAGTAGATATTTCACAACACCTGAGGAAAATTTTGGCTCAACAGATGTAAATAAATAAAGGTAATAGTGGGCACTCTGAAAAAAAAAAAAAAAAAAAGCCAACAAACAAACAAACAAAAAAAACCCCCAAAAAAGCCAAAACACAATTAACTGAGCATCAGCCTGGCACCAAATCTTAGCTCTGCCAGAAGTGTCCAACCTGGACAGCTCACTTTGTTCTTCTGTTCCTAAAAGCAGAATAATTCCCTTCTCGTTCTTTGTGTTTTCTCTCCAGAGTGTAAATTTTTAGGGACAGATCTCTCTCACTCTGCATGCCTGCTGTGTTTTGTACAATGAGGCCAAATTCTGGCTGGTTCACCACCCCTTTACAGGCACAGAAGATAATTTAGGATCTTCCTCAAGGCTCTCTAATGCTGGGGTGAAATGCAAACCCTACAGCTCGTCAGATTCTGACAGTTTTAGACTGTATTTATTTCCCCCCCATACCTGGGGTTCAGCTTCATTAGCAGCATGTGGAACTCTCCTACAGCCAGGGCAGGCTTCACCTATCTGGCTACCCAGAGGATGGTCCAGCCACCCAGATGCCAGGCAGCACCTCTGTGGGCATTTTTTCTAAGCAGTGTGTACTGCTACACCTTCATTTTGCAAGAGATGAAGATTGGGTCGACCTTCTTTTCCCTAATTATCTTGTGTGAGCAGAATTACACATGAACTCAGGCAAGGAGTGGGAGAGAACAGTTTTGTGGATCTGTTACAGAGCAGTCCCCAACAGCACATTCCCTGTTCACTTCAAACTTGCAGTAAGGTCACAGCTGAGGCCAAATTCAACAGTCAGCAAGAAGATGAACACAACTGATCTGATGTCTAAGTGAGGACCTTTTAAATGCCAGTTGCTTTGTCACTGATGTGTTTGACCTGTTCAGTCAATGCATATCATGTGTTTGGTCTCAACCAGCCAGCCATGGTGGGCTTGTGTTTCCACTCAGTGGTTGTGAGCTTTCAGAGGATCTGAATGGAGACACAGAAACTAGGACACCTCCAAATTTTAAGACAATTCTACAGAAAAATTCTTCAACCTATTTTAGGCTCATTAAACTCTACAAATAGAAACTTGGGACACAGCAAATTCTCAACTGTCTTTACTTGCTACAGTGTTAATTCTGCAGCTCCATGTTTTCTAACAAAGTTGCCAGTGAAAGGAATTTATTTTCTATTAAAATGTAATCACTGAAATACACAGGTTAGCAGAACTAACATCCTAAATAACTTGTTGACATTTCTCAGCTTTCACTGGAAATAAGGTAAAAACGTATCACCACAAATCCTTATTGGATTCAGCTCTTAAATTTAGTATCTAATTGTAAAACTTCAATGGGATCTTTTCCTGAAAAAGGGTGGGATTTTCTTTTGAGGGGAGCAGGGTTTTTTGGCATTTAAAATCTTTCTCTAGAAACAGAGTGCTGCACTTGATCCTTAACCCAGGCTTACATTGTTGGAAGGTAGTGTTATTGAGGTGGCTAGCAAAAAGGAATGAAAAAGAAGGGCTAAGACAAGTTACTGGAAATTTCTCACATGCCACCTTCCTGTTCTTATCACTTGAAATCTGGTGAACCAAAATTTTCCTTCCTTCCATACTGAAAGGTCTACCAAAAACTCCTGTGCTTGACTTCTCCAGTTTCAAATCAGCAGTTCTATGAATATTAATATGTAACTTTCAGCATGCAAGAAAGTATTTCTCCATTTTCTCCCCCCAAAACTGTGTGACACAGAGCTGAGTTTATTTTCTCGTGGACTTCCAAGTTAGTGAGCCTTTAGGTTTAGAACAAGCTTGGATGATCTGAATTTAATGGGAACTTTCCTGACAAAGGGAAACCCTAGCCTATCAAAAACCAAAGCCAGAAGGATTCTGAACTCAGTTATACCCTTGCTGAGTGTTACTGAGCATAGGTAAAATATATAAAAGAGGATTTGGTGCTTTGTGTAAGCACAAACTATTAAATGCATGCCTGGAAATTTAGGCTAGAGAAATATGGCCAAAACAGCTTCCTGTTTTCATCTCTTTTGCTGTGGATGAAAAGATTACAATTTTTTCCCCTCTTCATGCAGTAAAAGCAGCTTATACTGACACGGTTCTAGGTGTTCAGGAGCAAAGGTGCAAAATCCCTTTAGATATTCACAGCAGAATGACATTACTGTGACTGTGGAACACAGTAACTGGATCCCAGGAATACAGCAAGGATCACAACTCAACCTGATGTGCAGTGCCTCCGTCCTATCTTACGTGGCACATTAAAGTCCCAGGAGCCACAGTCTTTCCTCCACCTCATCCAGCTAGCAGCTGGATTTCCATTTATGTTTAGTTTTTCATGCTCTATCAAGTTCCAGGTGACATCATTAACTTGAGCAAGGAGGCAGAGACTGGAACTTCTTTTCATACATATGCCACAAACGCCTGAGGTGTAGAGAAAACAAAATCCTGAACACCAGCAAGTCAGGCAGGGAAACAGAGATGCTATTCTTTAAAAAAAAAAGCCCTGTAAGCCAACAGTTATTTTAGCTTTACATCCATCTATACAGGTGCCGTTTTGGGGCTGTTCTTTTTAATTCATTTACTTTGGCAACAGACAAGCCTAGCAGGAAGCAGAAGTTTAGCCTCAGAAGAGGCTATAATGCTGCAAATCTCAAATTTAGTGCAATATCAGGAATGAAATTTTAAAATGAAAGCCATACTGTCTCCCTTTTACCCAAATTCATTATAGAAACTTTCTCATGCTTTCTTTCATGGGCTTTTTCTTCTGTCTAAGAAAACATCATTACAGTCAGGCCCTGGACTTTTCGTGAATTATGGAAAAAAAGGGACATTCTTACCTGTAACCGTTTGGTAGCTTGGCCCAAAGACCTTTCTACAGCTTTAATGCCATTTTCCAGCCTCAGGCTCTGCTGGCCCTGAATGTCGATTTCGCCCTTCACCTTCTCGATCTTTTCCTTGACCTCTTCCTCATTCACCTGGGACTCCTGAACTTCCCGCTGCAGCTTCTCGGCTTCGAGGCCGCTCTCCATGTTGTGGATCTGAGACACGTAGTCCTTCAGCTTGCTCTCGCACTCTAGGATCCTCTGCCTCATCTCCTGGAGCTGCTCCTTCAGCTGCTTTTCGTTCTCCTGCTCAATCTGCAGCTCGTTCTCCCAGAACTCTTCCTCTTCAATCTCCACTTCGTTCCTTTTGATCTTCTGCTCTAGCTTGAGGATCTCCTCTTCCAGGCTGGAGTTATACTTTTGTTCCCAGTAGCGGATCTCGGCGTCGTTGGACTCCAGCTGTTTCTCGATGCACTGGAGCTTCTCCGTCTGCAGGTGGATCAGTTTCTTCAACTCGTCCGCCGTCGTTTTACAGTTGTTGAGCACCTTTTGCTTGAACTCTGACTCCTTGCTTTTCCCGAAGATGTCCATCAGCCCTTTGGCCCCCCCGGTGAAGGTGAGGGACTTCCTCTTGGGCTCCCTCCTCTTCATGGCCTTGTCCCCGGGCGGCCTCAGCTTGGCGAGGGGGGGCAGGCTCTGCCGGTACAGCGTCCTCTCGGGGATGCGCGCCATGCCGTCCGACGTGGGCCGCTCGCTGAGGGAGGGCCCGGTGCGCCGCAGGATCAGCTGCACGTCGCTGGCGTACTGTCCCCACTTGTTCAGCGACACGATGGGGTTCTC